GAGAGAGAGAGAGAGAGAGAGAGAGAGAAACATCTATTTATTGTTACACTTATTTATGCATTCATTGGTTGCTTCTTGTATGTGCCCTGACTGGAGATAGAACCCACAACCGGGCACATCAGGATGGCACTCTAACCCAGTGATCGGCAAACTCATTAGTCAACAGAGCCAAATATCAACAGTACAACGATTGAAATTTCTTTTGAGAGCCAAACTTTTTAAACTTACACTATATAGGTAGGTACATTGTTATTAACTTAATTAGGGTACTCCTAAGGCTTAGGAAGAGCCACACTCAAGGGGCCAAGGAGCCGCATGTGGCTCGCGAGCCGCAGTTTGGCGACCACAGCTCTAACCAATTGAGCTACCTGGCCAGGGCCATCTATCTTTTACTTTTTAAAATGTGGCTACTGCCCTGACTGGTTTGGCTCAGTGGATAGAGTGTCAGCCTGCGGACTGAAGGGTCCCAGGTTCAATTCTGGTCAAGGGCATGTACCTTGGTTGTGGGCATATCCCCAGCTGAGGGTAGAAAGGTCTCAGGTTCGATTCCGGTCAGGGGCTTGTACCTGGGTTGCGGGCACATCCCCAGTGGGAGATGTGCAGGAGGCAGCTGATCGATGTCTCTCTCTCATCGATTTTTCTAACTTTCTATCTCTCTCCCTTCCTCTCTGTAAAAAATCAATAAAATATATTTAAAAAAAAAAAAAAGAAAAAAGAAAATCAATAAAGTATATTTCTTAAAATGTGGCTACTAAAAAAATTTTTTTTAAATGATTTTATTGATTTTAGAGAGAGAGGAAGGGGGAGAGAGAGAGAAGCATGATGAGAAAGAAACATGGATCAGTTGCCTCCTGCACACACCCTACTGGGGATTAAGCCCCAAACCCGGGCATGTGCCCTGACTGGGAATCAAACCAGTGACCTCTTGGTGCATGGGATGGTACTCAACCACTGAGCCACACCAGCCAGGGCTCTTTTTACTTCTTCTTCTTCTTCTTCTTTTTTTTAAATACATTTCACTGATTTCCACAGAGAGGAAGGGAGAGAGACAGAGAGCTAGAAACATCGATGAGAGAGAAACATCAATCAGCTGCCTCCAGCACACCCCCCACTGGGGATGTGCCCGCAACCAAGGTACATGTCCCTGACTGGAATCGAACCCGGGACCCTTCAGTCCGCAGGCCGACGCTCTATCCACTGAGCCAAACCGGTTAGGGCTACTTTTTTTTTATGTGTGGTTTTTATTTTTCTTTATTGATTAAGGTATTACATGTCCCCAGACATCTTCTCCCTGGTGTCCCACAGGTGCCTCCAAGTCAGCCTGCCCCAGGAGATCCCCACCTTTCCTCCTTGGTTCCTCAGCCCCACATGTGGTCCGTCGCTGAGACCTGTAAGCCCTACTTCCTAAAGCTGTTCACTCCTACCTGTCCCCCAAGTTCCTGCCCTTCTCTTCTGGACAGCCACACTGGTCTCCCCACTTGCCCTCAGTGGCTGCCAAGACCCTCTCCTCCTCCAGAAGCCTTCTCTGATTACACCCCATCCCCGACTGTCCCCCATGCCTCCCCTGTACACTCTCCCGCTTCTGGCTCTCAGCCCTGAATGCTCTTCATTGCACTCAACAAGCTATGTGACTGCCCCATCAGACAGTGACGGGCAGGTGCCACGCCTATTTTGTTCCCCAGCGTGCCAGGAACATGGTCGT